ACATTTTCACATAAAAATAGATAATTTTATCTTACAATAACTGTGGTTGACCTAGCTGAACGAAAGTTTTTACCATGCTATTGAAAGAGTCCAAATGATGTCACTTCCTTCATGGGTGTCACAATTTTAAAGGATGCAAAATTTTTGTTTTTTAATCGAGGAAAATCATACAGTAACAAGGTTCAAGGCAAAATGTGGGACACAAAAATTATTTGTTTCATAGTTAAAAATGTTTTTCATACATTGGGTTAAATATAAGTTACATATAATTATAATACATATAATAAATAATAATAATATAATACATATAATAAATTCTATGGAAACAACATAATATATTTTTTCACATTTTCACATAAAAATAGATAATTTTATCTTACAATAACTGTGGTTGACCTAGCTGAACGAAAGTTTTTACCATGCTATTGAAAGAGTCCAAATGATGTCACTTCCTTCATGGGTGTCACAATTTTAAAGGATGCAAAATTTTTGTTTTTTAATCGAGGAAAATCATACAGTAACAAGGTTCAAGGCAAAATGTGGGACACAAAAATTATTTGTTTCATAGTTAAAAATGTTTTTCATACATTGGGTTAAATATAAGTTACATATATTATGACAAAATTATGATTATGAATTATGATTTTAATTGTCAGATTCAGGTGAGAGCTTCAATGATTTGACAAGCTAAAACCACTCCATAAAGTAGGGTATTCAAATATTTGATATGTTTGAAACAGGTCATTTTAATATATTTTTTATACTGTATATAATTTAATGCTTATAAAGCAAATATTTAGCTTTGGACAGCAGAAACATTATATTTGTGCCACTAATTGTTTTAAAAAATACCACAAGATGCCAAAGTGTATGGTATTTGTAAGAATGTGAAATTATTTTCTTGGCGTATGGCGACATACTGTATGTTATCAGGTCAACTTCTGTGTGTTTTTACTAATTAACTGGTAGGGAGATTATTTGTAGAAATTTTCATTTATTTATTTATTTATTTTACAGCTTAGAAATCATATCAGAAACATCAGCATGTGAGAATAAAACTCTGGGTGATAATTGTGTTTATTTACATATTTATTTATTGTATAATTTTTAATAACTTGAAATATCTTTGTAAATTTGTCATTATAAGATAGTACTTTCCGATATTTTTTTATACAACAATTTCAAGTGAAGTATGAAATTTATATCTAGTAAAGCTATACTGGTAAAGTTAAATATGTAATGTGTTAGATGCTCATATTTGGTAAATTAAATATGAAATATTTGTTGCTTCTAAGTATAAGGTATTTAGACATGTTATGACACTGTAATGTAAAAAAAAAAGGAAATTAAGCATTTTAAATATACAATAATTATTGTATTATTATTTTATCTGATTAAGCTGCTAGTTCAACATTTTACTTGCAGTAAATGTGCTGTGCTTGCTTTCATCGTGCAACACTGGAGAACATAATAAAATAAAAGATAAAAGAATAATATCAGATTTAATTTCAAAAGGTGCACTAAATTGGACAATATATATAGATATTATATAGAATATTGTATAGTCACTTTGCTTTTTAATATGCAGGAATTCTTGATATTGTTGGAGACTGTGGTGTTGTTATGCTGTGTGCTAGTTTTCATTTAGGGCTGCAAGCTGTTTTGCTGATTTGACCTTCACCAGGTCTCAATGATGATTGTGTTGTCTTCTGATTCATTTCAGAGCTGAAAGGGAAATGCTCTGAGGTGGGTCTGATTGTGTAGTGTGTTGATTACATGATAAAAAGCCACACATGAAAAGACAGTGATTGCAATTTGGAGTGCAATATGCGAGTTGTAGTCTGGAAGTCCACTAAATTGAAAAGCACAAATCAACCAGAGAATTGCAAATCCAGATGAGCAGTTGATGATTAAACTAATCATAACAAACAAAAACTAAACAATTACTGATTAGTGAGGCTCAGTACTTAACCTTTTGGGTCTAAGTGTCAGAGATCAGACTTATTTATATGGCAGACAAGAAAACAGCATTCAAAATATGAATAGACTCTGATGGAAGGACCTGAGCCAAACATAGAGATTTTGAATTGGGCTCTTTTAAATTTACCACCTAGCAACCACCCAGAATACACTAGCAACTACCTAGCAAAGTCATACCAACCATTTTGAAAGCCTTAACATTATGGTGGCAAGCAAGAACCACAAAATCTCCTTGCTCATTGGAATCTAGCTGAAAGTTACTCCGCACCAACTGAAATCTACTTCCAATGCACTTCCATCAACACTCATTATGGATTAAATGACAGTTTTCTAAAAGCGCTTTGCCCTGTGGCACATCTTGCAAGTCAGTCGTGACTGTTTGCTAGCAGTCCTTTGTGCTGAAGTTCAGTATTGACCTGGATGAAGGTCAGACCCTCATGAAAACATTTGCTAAAATCACACATTTCAAGACTCTGTGGCATTACAAGTGCTGTTTTCTTTCTTGTGTTTACATGAGCATTAACTACTTACTTGTATAAAGAGGAGGGACATTCTCATTCTAGAGAGCATTTGATTGGTCAGAAACCCCTGAGTGCAAGATGAGTCATCAACATATTCATAATTGCATATTTTTCCCGGAAACATCCTTGTGTTACGGTTATGAAATCTCAGATGTTTTACTTTTTTCATAAAACATTTCAAGTGAAATGTAAAAGTGTTGTCAATACTGGAAATTAATAAATATATACAATGTGTTAGATGCACAAGGTAAATTAATTATGAAATACTTATAAGTATAACTCATTACTCATCGCATGGCATGTAAACAAATCTAATAATGGTATGGTAAACATACATTATTAATTATATTATTAATATTTTATCAGATTAAGCTGCTAGTTCATCATTTTGCATGCAGTAAAAGTGCTGTGCTTGCTTATATCACAGGAGAAAATGATGTGTCAGGATAAATATCAAACTCAACGATGACTTGCTGCTTGCTAGGAAGGTGGTATTGGGGGAGGGACATTCTTATTCTAGAGAGCATTTGATTGGACAGAGATTTGAACACACCCCTGAGTACATGATGAGTCATCAATGTTTTTGTTTGTTTCCTCAGAAGAGAAAGACTACATTTTAAATATGTCTATATCTTCCGAAAGACTTTTAGGTTGACAAAGTAAAGCAAACAGCATCTTCCTTAAAGGGGTCCTATTATGCTCTTTTACAAAGTCTTGATTTTGTTTTGGGGGGTGTACTAGAACAGGCTCTCATACTAGGTTGTTCGAAAAACACATTATTTTTCACATACTTTACATTATTACAATACCTCTCTCCCAAGTCTGAACGGCTCGAATAGTTCCTGTATCAAATGAAACCCCGCCTTCTGAAATACGAAATGTGCTGTGATTGGTTAGCTGGGCCAGTGTGTGTTGTGATTGGCTGCACTCGGCGCCTGGTCGGGAAATGTCATGCCCCTTACCATAGCCGCCTGCGAGCTTCAGTGTAAATATTGCGTCAAATCAATTTGAGCGCGATTTAAACCCAGATGATTGTAACCACTCTAAGTTCGTCTACCTTGAGAAATCGAGTGCGTCTTCAACATAGTGATAAGAGGAGGGACATTCTCATTCTAGAGAGCATTTGATTGGTCAGAAACCCCTGAGTGCAAGATGAGTCATCAACATATTCATAATTGCATATTTTTCCCGGAAACATCCTTGTGTTACGGTTATGAAATCTCAGATGTTTTACTTTTTTCATAAAACATTTCAAGTGAAATGTAAAAGTGTTGTCAATACTGGAAATTAATAAATATATACAATGTGTTAGATGCACAAGGTAAATTAATTATGAAATACTTATAAGTATAACTCATTACTCATCGCATGGCATGTAAACAAATCTAATAATGGTATGGTAAACATACATTATTAATTATATTATTAATATTTTATCAGATTAAGCTGCTAGTTCATCATTTTGCATGCAGTAAAAGTGCTGTGCTTGCTTATATCACAGGAGAAAATGATGTGTCAGGATAAATATCAAACTCAACGATGACTTGCTGCTTGCTAGGAAGGTGGTATTGGGGGAGGAACATTCTTATTCTAGAGAGCATTTGATTGGACAGAGATTTGAACACACCCCTGAGTACATGATGAGTCATCAATGTTTTTGTTTGTTTCCTCAGAAGAGAAAGACTACATTTTAAATATGTCTATATCTTCCGAATGACAGTTTTATCCACTTTTAGGTTGACAAAGTAAAGCAAACAGCATCTTCCTTAAAGCGGTCCTATTATGCTCTTTTACAAAGTCTTAATTTTGTTTTGGGGGGTGTACTAGAACAGGCTCTCATACTAGGTTGTTCGAAAAACACATTATTTTTCACATACTTTACATTATTACAATACCTCTCTCCCAAGTCGGAACGGTTCGAATAGTTCCTGTATCAAATGAAACCCCGCCTTCTGAAATACGAAATGTGCTGTGATTGGTTAGCTGGGCCAGTGTGTGTTGTGATTGGCTGCACTCGGCGCCTGGTCGGGAAATGTCATGCCCCTTACCATAGCCGCCTGCAAGCTTCAGTGTAAATATTGCGTCAAATCAATTTGAGCGCGATTTAAACCCAGATGATTGTAACCACTCTAAGTTCGTCTACCTTGAGAAATCGAGTGCGTCTTCGACATAGTGATAACACTAGTTGCCTTCTCTAGTGCAGCTCAACCAGGTCTCGTCCCATTCGTCGGTATTTGTGATATCACAAATCCCGGAAAATATGCGTTGTAGTCCAAACGAGTCGTTCGTTGTAGTTTTTGAAAAGTGATTTCTGTTAAATAAGATATCTCCTTTTGAAATCGACTTTGAGCTGTGTAACTTTGCAGATCTTTTTTATGCTCAAACAGCAACATTACTGACTAACTAAAGTTGAAAAAGTGAAAAAGCATAATAGGACCCCTTTAAAGAGTTTCTTCAGACTTTCTGTTCCCTCTCCCAACATCTCTATCTGTCTCTCAGGAAATAAGTCCCTGGACAGCGGCATTGCAGAGATGGAGGAACTTCCTGTTCCCCAGAACATCAAAATCAGCAACATCACATGCGACTCCTTTAAGATCTGCTGGGACATGGACTCCAAGTCAAAGGAACGCATCACACACTACTTCATCGACCTCAACAAGAAAGAAAACAAGAATGCCAACAAGTTCAAACACAAGGTGTGTGAATGCAGCAGCTCTATATTCACTCCTTACACATCCTGATCTGACCTGATTTAGGCAAAAGCTGATCTTCAGTAATGTTCTCAGGTTCATGTGTTTGCAGAAAGAGAACTGCAAGAACATGACTGTTTAATCTCATTTATTATCTGTCTCCTCTAGGACGTCCCCACTAAACTGGTAGCAAAAGCAGTCCCTTTGCCCATGACAGTGCGAGGCCACTGGTTCCTGAGTCCACGCACCGAATACACTGTTGCCGTACAGACCGCGTCCAAACAGGGTGATGGCGACTACGCCGTGTCGGAATGGAGTGAGATCATTGAATTCTGTACAGGCGGTGAGAAAATTTTAAAGCACTAACATTAAATATATAAATTGTAACATTTCAATAAGCAAATCTGCATGTGCTTCAAGTTTAACCGTCATTGGCATAATTTCCAATATTTTTGTGGAAGTTTATTTCACCAGTATTCCAACCAAATGAAAGCTCAAGGATTTGTTGAACATATGAAAGTGAGGAATTATATAAATATTAGTGACAATCACATAAAAATAACTATTGTAGCTGTGTAGCGTAAAATAAAATGATTAACACCAGTGAGAATGTAACGCAGACTGAGACACTATCACAACTAAAATGTTTATAATAAAACATTTACTAAAAAAAAATATTGTATCTATTTACTTGCATGTCACATGATCATTAACCAATATCAGAGTAGTGTGAAAATGCAAATGTGAAATTAAATTATTGAAATATTTACTTAAAAAGTGGTTTGGTGGACAATAAAGTTTGGGAGCCTTGTTTGAAGTATTGCTTATATGACCTCCATGAAGCTATTTAGGCTGTTACTGGCTCATAATGTCATTTTATTTCTTTATTTTGTATCTACAGATTATTCCACTGTTCATCTCACACAGTTGCTGGAGAAAGCAGAGGTCATCGCTGGCAGAATGCTGCGGTTCTCAGTCTTTTATCGAAACCAACACAAAGAATACTTTGACCATGTAAGGTATGTTTCTACAGGGATAACGACACTAAATTATTAAAGGAACAGTCAGCTTTATTTCCAACCCTCTATGACCTCTATGACACCTGTGTTCTGTGGAACACAAAAAATACAATTCTGAAGAATTTCCCTGCTGTTCTTTTCTGTACAATAAATGTGGCAGGGGTCTGTATGAGAATGACACTTGATGACACCTAATTTCAGAATTAATAAATTGGTGCAGGATATTCTTCAAAATCACCCTTTGTGCGCCGCAGAAGAAAGTCACACAGATTTAGAACAAAATGAGGGCAACTATCTACTGTAAATTATGACAAATTTTTCATTTCATATGAATATTCATTCTCATTACATTAGAAAATCTCCAAATACTGAAGATTTAAATTTTTTTTTTATTAAAATGTTCTCTCTATTGTGAATTATCTTTCTTTCTATCTTAGAATTTACCTTTATGCAACCCCAGTGATTTAAATTTCTCTTATTCAACTAATACTGTCCTGTATAGTATAATTTGATGAAAACAGCCATGAAATCAGTCTTCACAACAGAAATGAATAAAATTTTAAATGTAAGAGGCACCGCGGAATCAAATTAAATCCACCTGAAGGGGGGGGGGGCATTCATTTCTCTTCATAAATCATATTTTTTAATATCACTCTAGTTTATGTATCTGAATGTACCCCTTCATCTTCAGTGAGATTTACAGAATTCATTGCCTTGCTTTATTTAAAAGTAATTACATTTGGTTTCCCATCAGTGAGTGAAAGTCTATTGTTGTTGTACTTACCTCATGTGAAACTCAAAGATTAATTCCACACTGACTTGATTAGATAGCTGTATTATAAATCATGCGTTTCAGATAGTGGTTCACCTGTTCATATCATTTCAGCTTCATTTACCACATTAAAAACAATAAAGATCAGGTCTAAACTCTGAGGTGATAGTAAGAAGGAAACAGACTTCTGATCAGACTGAGAATTAATCAGAAGACAGTTAATAATGATACATCACATAAAAGGCTGGTTGGTATGCATTACAGAATAAAAAATAAAAAGGTACTTGCGAATTGTTTTTTTTTTTTTTTTTTAATCTAACAATTCCGACATTATTTCTTGCAATTCTGATTTATTTTGATTTAACATCTCTTAATTCTGTCTTTTTTTTTTGTGGGACAATTGCAAGACAAACTTGGAATGGCGAGATATGAAGTCAAAGCTGCAAGATAATTGCAATATATAAACTCGAAACTGCGAGATATCAGAATTGCGTTATAAACCCGCAATTCTGAAAGCAAGTTTGAAATGTGCTATAGCCTTGCAATTCTGAGTAACCAAGTCAGAATTCTGAGATAAGTCACAATTTCCTTTTTTATTGTCTTCTTCTGTGGTGAAAACAGGCTTCCACAGATTGAAAAAGAGATCTTTCACCCCCTGCGAAAGATTTCACCCCCCCCCCAATAACAGAATGTTCATACTACTCTTTTCCATAAAATAAAAATGTATCGAAACTGCTGTGAAGGTCCAAAAAGGACAAAAGTGCATCACACATCAATACCATGAAAGTGGTCCTTGAGATTCATGTTCTTCTGAAACCATTTGATAGCTTTGCTATTACTTTTCCAGTTTCCATTTTTAAGAATTAGCTGTAATGTGTTCTCCGGCTACAATAAGTTGTACTGATTTAAGGAGGTTAGTCACTGGCAGTAAAGTTAAGGGCAAAGGTCAGGAGAAAATGGTTTGTGTTATATCTGAATTCTTGTAGTACCACTGAACGTCACCTCCATGAAGTCATTTCATTTGTCATTTATGGTGAATTTTCTGGTTGCAGGGAAGCCCAAAACAACAAGATGCTGCTGTCAGTGAAGGATAACAGCGGCAGCCACGGTTCGCCCATCAGCGGGAAGCTCGAGGGCATCTTCTTCAGCAGCAACACCGAGTTCAACACAGGCAAACCCCCACAGGACTCACCGTACGGCCGTTACCGCTTCCAGCTGCCAGCCGAGGAGCTCTTCAGTCCCAAGACAAACCTGTATTTCGCCGACTTCTACTGCATGTACACGGCCTATCACTACGTCATTCTGGTGATCGCGCCGAAGGGCTCGTCTGGAGACGAGTTCTGCAAGCAGCGCCTGCCAGCGCTGGATATCGCCAACAACCGCTTTATGACGTGCTCGGAGGATGAAGACGGCCGGTTGGTGTTCCACCATGCACAGGACCTTATCCTGGAGGTCATCTACACCGACCCCGTGGATCTGAGCCTGGGCACGGTAGCTGAGATCAGCGGCCACCAGCTCATGAGCCAGTCCACAGTCAACGCCAAGAAGGATCCCAGCTGCAAGACCTGCAACATCAGCGTGGGACGCTAACCTACGAATCGGAACCCTTCTGCTGCCTTGAACAGCACAGAAAATCGCCTTCTCCTTTAGCCGTCCTCCTTACCCATTATCGAACGTATCCATAATTCCTTCTGGTGTCCGCAGCATGTGTCTCACAGCTTTTGACAAAATGCTCTTTTTCGTTTACTAGCTTATGGATCTCGACCCGGGGTTGGGTTAGATATGTCTTGGTGTTGGGATGTTGAATTAATCACCCCTGTCAATCAAACTGCTTCTTTAATCCTATTGGCTGTCAGACCTTCCTGTTAGAACGCGGCATTGTAACAGTTTACCAAAGTTTACACAAATTTAACACTAAATGCTCATCAAGTCACTGAAGTCGGTGAATCGAGACAACCGTTCTTTTAAGGCATTATGAAGGTGATGATATCTCAAAAAATATGTGATTGGACGTATCTGTAGCATGACTGCAAACATTTTTGGAAACGTTGACATTAGCATAACTGTTCTTTAGCAGTGTTTCATGTTATCTATTCCAACCCATCCAGTATACTGGGATTTAACATATATTAAATGTGATACGACATGTAGATAGAAAAATATTTATTTTTTAACTGGTGAATAGAAAATGGACAGGACCAGAAGTAGTGATGGAAAAGAAAAGGTTCACGATAAAGCAAAAATATATAGATACATATATACACATATGTTTACTGTATAAACCAATGTAGAATTACGTGCACAATAGCTAACATTCAAAAGCTACATTTGTCATTGTGGATGTGTACAGCAAATAAATTCTGGGACGACGATAACATGACAGAATAACCACACCTGATTGTAGCACAATTCAACAGTTTACGTTGGTTGGCATGCAAAGACACTACACAAAGATTGTAATAGTTCATTGCAGTAGAGCCGTCAGAAAGGAAAGATATTGATTGTTTCGTTTCCAGAGAGTAGCTACTTGAGCAGAATTGCACTTAAAGCGCACATCCGCTTCTCATGAACATATCTCCTGCTTTGGGCTTCAGTATTGTTTTTAGTGTATGACGTTATTGGACAGTGTTCATTTTAACCACTGGCTTAATGTATCATTTGTTCTTCATGTATAGGAGGAAAACTGTGCTCTGTGATGGCCACGTACTGTACTTTAACACGTTTTTGAACAAAATAGATCTTTAAAAATACTTAGCTCTCCTGGGAGAACCTTTTCAATTCTGGATATTCTGGTATTCAATTCTGCTCCCTTTTTCATGTGAGAGACAGATATATGAGAAATAAACATGGTTGGTTGCTGCTGTATTCATATGTTAGGGAACTCATTGAAATGTGCATAAAACCCTTATTTTAAGTGCTCTGCGTTGTTTTCTGTCTAGAGCGTTGCATTATTTGACAGGCTAAAGATCGTGTCTAGCCCCAGAGTATCACGGATCATCATTAGTATGCATAATGTCACCATGTTCCTAATTAGAATCATAAACTAGCTTCAAACAAGAGCAAGAAAACGTGAAAATTGCATATGGTTCGACTTTGGTTAAAAAAAAATCTCCTCCAAAAATAAAGTGCCATATTCCATACACATAGATGAATACTCTATATTTCCTTTTGCCCTTTGAAATCTGAATGAGGTTTGTATCGATCCGTCTCGCTCTGTACACAGCACAGAGATCGCACATGTTTGCGTTTATGAGATAGTAGCCACCGGAAGGCCTTGATCGGTTCGGCCCAACCCATTGAGTCTAGGACTTCCAATGTGGTCAGAAAAGATATTAAAGTGCATTTTAGCATCATAATGGCACAGTTATGTCAAATGTAAAAACACAATTTGGTCCAAACATTGGGTTCGATACTGAAAGGCAGAACAAATTCTCAGATAGTCTAAGTGGCTTCCTGTTTGCTGAGCAACACTTCCAGTAAGCGTAATTTGGCTTTGAGACTTTTGTACTCCTGGTACTCCTCGGCCATGGGGATTCGGTCATCTTTTTGTGCGGTTCTTCATTATTTTGGTGGAAAGGGAGAGAAAAAAAACAGATACCGCATGAAACCGATGACTCTGTGAGATTCCACTACCATTAAAACACACATTTAACCCTTGAGTTGCCTTACTGAAGCAGTTTTGTACATCAGTGGATAGCAGATAAATGGAAATGTATTTTATTTAAAAAACTAAATCCATATATTGTGTACAGAAACACTGTTTTTTTTCCCCTGGTGGTATTACTTTGTGTATCATTGATTAGATGTGCATTATGCTAACTACGCTGAACTATTTTGATCTTTATTTTCCTTTTTCCTTCCTGTCTATGCTCAAAAAGACAAAAGTAACAAAATACCATTAAAATGTGTTAATGCCACAGTAACGCATCTGTGTTTTACCTTCCCATCTGTCTGAAGAACTGCTCTTCAAACTCTCTGATGGCTTTACGTCGTCTCTTCTTCTCGGCTCGAGTCTCACGCAAACACTCCAGCAACTCAGACCTGCAATTAGACAGGTGCAAAACACAGTTTGTAAAGGAATATCTCACCCTACAATTTATCATTAGGAAACATTTACACACCCATGTCATCGCAAATCTGTAAGGTTTTCGTTCTTACACAATAGAATATATATATTGCAGAATGTCCAGAGGTAGGTCCAGAGGAAGCATTTTAAGCTTTTAAACTGTTGCCACAGGTTAAAGGTTTGACATGTTGTTTAAACTATGCACATTTGATAGAAATGCTTATAATGAAATGTTTTAGGCTACCCAATTTATATTCTAACAATGATATAACTGTACTGGATGATGAGACACTGTAAGAAGATTTTTGTAAGAGAAAGGTACCGGAAGGGAGCCTATGTGCGGATGTTTCTATGGTAACTGCCAGGTCTCTCCAGATATGATTCTAGTAAATTTAAAAAAAAAAAGTCAACAGAAAAATTTATGGAAGCTGTCAATCTGAATTTCTGAAAATTGTGATGTACATTTTTTAATCATTATACGGTAATTTTCACGTTGAAATTGTGTTATGCATAAAGGTGCTGTTTGGTTTGAAAGTGACTTTTTTTTTACTAGTGATTATAAAATATTTATTTGAAAAATGTAGTCATATTTTGGGCTAGCTTTGTTAGGCAGATCTGGCAACCCTACTCTACCATGCAACAAAAATAAATGGGAACTAGGGCTGTTGAACTTTAATGATAAAGTATCATAAAAGTGGTTTCTATAACTTGACTTGTCATTTACATGCCAAGCCTTCTGAAGACATGCAATAACTTTGTGCTAAACAGGGATATTGACATATGTTTAGCTTTAGTTCTCAAATCTTTCTTGTGCACAATAAATTCAAACGATGCAACATATTTGAAATTACTGTGAATAACGACTTAAATCTCTATTCCTCAAACAAAATATGACTTGAAATATTGAACACTAATCATATTCCATAATAGCCCATTATGGAAAACAGGACATTGGACATTCTGCAAAAATTCTCCTTTTGTTTCTTCATATCTTTGGAACAATTTTCTGTCATTATTTAAAAAATACTTAATCATTATTGTTCACACTTCAGTTTGGGGACCTATTCTGACTATTAACTAACTGTTAACTATGACTCTTGCCTCAATAAACTCCTGATTAGCTGCTCATTAATAGTAATTGTTAAGTTTAGGTATGGGGGTGAATTAAGGGATCTAGAATATGCTCAAGCAGAATAAGGCACTAATATGTGCTTTATAAGTACTAATGAACAGCCAATATGCTAGTAATATGTATGCTAACAAGCAACTAGTTAATGGTGAGGATTAGTCCCTAAACTAAAGTGTAACCTCATTTTTTTTTTATTGCATGTGATGTTCCTCAGTGACTAAGGTTTGAGTACCTGGAGGCCTCGTGGAGGTTGGACATGGTTATGACTGACTGTCTCACTGTCTTGATCTCATCCACCGGAGACACAAAGGCCGGGTCACTGTCGCCCTCCTCCTCCCCACAGCCTCTCTTATCAGTGAGGCACATGGGTGGGGGTGTGTACCGAACGGAGTCATCATCTGAGCCTTCTTCTTCTTCCTGTGATACATTCAAAACAAACATATAGAATCTTACTCCAAACAAAATAAGGTTAAATGTAAATGTACTGTAAAACTGGTATTCAATTTTTTTGCCATTACTTCAGTCTTCAATGTCACATGATCCGTCAGAAATCATTCTAATATGCTGATTTGCTGCTTAATTATTACCAATTATTTTTGGTTCTCAATTATTAATAACGGTTCTTATCATTATCAGTGTGGCAGCTTAATTTTTTATGGAAATCATAATACATCTTTCAGGATTCTTCAATGAATACAGTTAAAAAAAAGCATTTATTTGAAATAGAAATGTTTTGTAACATTATAAATGTCTTTGCTGTGACTTCTGATCAATTTAATGCGTCCTTGCTTTTTAAAAAAAAATCTTACTTACCCAAATATTAGTGTATCACAGTTTCCACAAAAACACTGAGCAGCAAAAACGGTTTTCAACATTGATAATAATAAGAGACGTTTCTTGAGCAGTAAATCAGCATATAGATCAAGTGACACCGAAGACTGGAGTAATGATGCTGAAAATATAGCTTTGCAATAAAGGAATAAATTACATTTTAATGTGCATTCAAATACAAAACAGTTAGTTTAAACTGGAATACGATTTCACAATATTATGTTTTTACGGTATTTTTTTATCAAATAAATGCAGCCTTGCTTAACAAAAAAGACCCCAAAAACAATTTTATATA